TCACCTCAGCCTCCCAAAGGCGCGGGATTACAGGCTGAGCCACCGAGCCCGGCAGTATAATCTCTTTTAATTTCAGTCTCCATTCTTAAAATTGCCTAAGCGTTCTCAGAACACAGAAAAAAGAAATCCGAATGTGTAATAGTTTAATAACTTATATGACCCATTAGGATCTTTTCATGGAATGTTTCTAAACCAAGGCATAATTCACCACAAAGATAATTCAGAAAAAGCAAACAAAATTTTGAATGGTATGTTATAGTGACCTGGACAAAGCTGAGCATCAAGTAGTGATACTCATAATAATCAGCACATGCAGTAGTTTGAGAAATTAAATCCTGTGCTATATGCTCTTAAGTATTTTCTCAGACATGATACATCTTTAAATGTTTCTATCAATCATATTCATTTTCCCACATAAATTAAGTTTTACTTAAAACTAGAAGAGTTCTTTTTTCTCCAGATTCTCATGTTTATCAGTGCAAAGTAAAATGTAACAATCTCAGTAGAAATGATTTATTACGATGTTATTTTAGAAAGGTTTATTCTCAAAATGTCCAAAATGTACTTAAAGGATTAAAAGATATCCAAGTCGTGAGAATGATCAACTTCAATGGCTTCCTCTGCATCCAACTTGGCTTCTCCATGTCCTTCCTGTGACTCATCGAGAGAGGCCAGGGCCTCATTTGTGTCACTTGCAAAAGTTTCTCGTGATGTATCATCATCTTCTTGAAAATTTAGACTTTTAATAGCTTGTTTCATCTTCTTCCCCAACACTTGTGTTCTCCTCTTCCTAGCAGCTTTTTTATTTTCATATTCCTTTTGATTTTCAATGTAGAAAATATCCTATAATAAAGGAACAACATTAGTACATAAGAGGTACCATCATTAAAAACTTTTACAAGACAGGTCCATTATAATCACTATCTCCAGAAAAAAATAAGCAAATATTATTACACTTATTATTAGACAGAGTTCAAGATATTAAATAAGTCCTCACTGCAAGCAAAGACTGAAGCTGATTCATGCTCAACCCAGTGTTAGGCCAAGGGCCCACCGTAATACATCATCTCTATAGCTAAAGTGAACAGATATAGCAGAAAAATCGTGTTTATGGTTTAAATAAAATACAATTTATCACATAACAAAAGAGATGTCTTTGGAATAAAAACTTACTAACCCCTGGGTGCTGTGGCTCACGCCTATAATCCCAGCACTTTGGGAGGCTGAGGTGAGAGGACTGCCAGAGTCCATGGGTTTGGGATCACTCTGGGCAACTTGGCAAGACCTCGTCTCTACAATAAATCAAAAAATTAGCTGGCTGTGGTGGTGCATGCCTGTGGTTCCAGCTACTTGGAAGGCTGAGGTGGAAGGATCACCTGAGCCCAGCAGGTCAAGGCTGTGGTGACCGTGAGCATGCCATTGTACTCCAGCCTGGGTGACAGTGAGACTCCGACTTAAAAACAAACAAACAAAAAAACTTACTAACTTTGAAATGTCATAACAATATGTAATCACTCATGCTAAGAAACAGAGCCATGCCTGAACTATGCGAAAAAGAATAATCACATCATCTACCCGATGCAAGAAAAAATTCAGCACTTAAAAATATTACTGAGGCTGGGCTCAGTGACTCAGCCTGTAGTCCCAGCACTTTGGGAGGCCGAAGTGAGTGGATTGCCTGAGCCTGCGGGTTCGAGACCCACCTGGGCAACTTGGCGAGACCTCATCTCTACAATAAATAAAAAAAAATTAGCCAGGTGTGATAGCGCGTGCCTGTAGTTCCAGCTACTTGGAAGGCTGAGGCGGAAGGATCACCGGAGCCCGGAAGGTCGAGGCTGCGGTGGCCGGGAGCGGCCACTGCACTCCAGTCTGGGTGACAGAGTGAGACTCCAACTCAAAAAAAAAAAAAAATTACTGAAATCAACATGTTAGAATATATGCCTCTGTCAAAAACGTTTATCATAAGCATGGAAATACTACAGTCAGCACTAGGATACATTCCAGGATGCCAGAAAAGGGACTTTATGGGAAACTTTATGGGAGTCTGTTGTGTACATAGGTGTTTAGCAGTATTTGTGGCCTACCGACTGCTTGCCTGAGTAAAACATACCCACCCCACCCCCAAATGTGACAACCAAAAATGTCCCCAGATATTGCCAAATGTCCTCCGAGGGGCAAAATCACCAGAAGATAAGAATTGCTGTAGAACATACACTTATATGAAAGTACCATGTAAACATTAAAAAACATAAAATAACCTCTGGGAATCTTGATATAGATAGGCAAAAGGAGTTATAGAAGATACAAAAGAAAAAAATAGGTCAGGGATTTAAGTAGAAAACCAAAATGACTATACAGGTTAAGTATCCCTTATCAGAAATGCTTGAGACCAGAAGTGTTTTGGATTTCTAAGTTTTTCAGATTTTGGAATTATCTGTATATACACAATGAGATATCTTGGGGATAGGACCCAAGTCTAAACACGAAACTCATTTACGTTTTTCTTTTTGAGTCAGGGTCTCACTCTGTCACCCAGGCTAGAGTGCAGTGGCATGATCATTGCTCACCGCAGCCTTGACCTCCTGGACTCAGGCAATCCTTTCACCTCAGCCTCCTGAGTAGCTGGGACTACAGTTGTGTGCCACCAAGCCCAGCTAATTTTTTGTAGAGTCAAGTTCTCACTATGTTGCCAGGCTGGTCTTGAACTCCTGGGCTGAAGTGATCTTCCCGCCTTGGCCTCCCCCAAAGTGCTGGGATTACAGGTGTGAGCCACCGGGCCCAGCCCATTTATGTTTCCTACAGACATACTCTGAATATAATTTTATACAATATTTTATACAATTTTGCATAAACAAAGTTTGCGTTAAGTATTTTTATGTGGAATTTTCTACTTGTGGCATCACGCTGGCGTTCAAAAAGTTTCCAATTTTGAAGCATTCTGGATTTCTGATTTTCAGATTGAGGATAGTCAACCAGTACTATCAAAGAGATGGTTCAAAGGCTTAAAAAAAGGACACATATCTGAGACTCTATTATCTTCTGGGAAGGGAGTCCTAAATCTGTAGCCAAGTCATTCTTATTATATTCTTTAAAGTATATGAAGTGCAAATCCCTTCGTTTGTAAAAACAAAAAACACTATGGAAAATGGTGACTGGAGCGGGGCTCGGTGGCTCAGCCTGTAATCCCGCGCCTTTGGGAGGCTGAGGTGAGTGGATTGCCTGAGCCTGCAGGTTTGAGACCCGCCTGGGCAACTTGGTGAGACCTCATCTTTACAATAAATAAAAAATTAGCTGGGCGTGGTAGCGCGCGCCTGTAGTTCCAGCTGCTTGGAAGGCTGAGGCGGAAGCATTGCTGGAGCCCAGCAGGTCGAGGCTGCGGTGGCCGGGAGCGGCCACTGTAATCCAGTCTGGGCGACAGAGTGAGACTCCAACTCAAAAAAAAAAAAAGAAAATGGTGACATAAAAAAGACCCTCTCCTAAAATTTATGCTAAGTAGCCTATAAGCAGTACACAGAATTAGCAGGAAGGAATAAGAAACTTTAAAGTATAATCTCTGCTACCATTCAACAGTTGTGTTCCTTTTTTTTTTTTGAGTCAGGGTCTCACTCTGTTGTCTAGGTTGGAGTGCAGTGGCACAATCATGGCTCACCACAACAGTTGTGTTCCTAAGGAAACTTACATTGTTAAAAATCATGTTATCAAAATCATTTTCTAGGCTGGGTTCAGTGGCTCACACCTGTAATCCCAGAACTTTGAGAGGCTGAGGTGGGGGGATCACTTTAAGCCAGGAGTTCAAGACTAGTGTGAACAATATAGTGAGACCTTGTCTCTACCAAAAAAAAAAAATTAGCTGGGCATTGTGGCACACACCTGTAGTCCCAGTTACTTGGGAGGCTAAGGCAGAAGAATTGCCTAGAGCCAAGGAGGTCAACTGCCTAGAGCCAAGGAGGTCAAGGCCGCGGTGAGCTGTGATTGTGCCACTGCACTCCAGCGTGGGCAACAGAGTGAGACTTCAACTCAAAACAAACAGAGTGAGACTTCAACTCAAAACAAACAAACAAACAAAATAAAATCGTTATTTCAGTGAGGGGGAAAAAAACAGTTACTACAGATTTCAGATGTGCAGTATTGGTAACATTTCCTATAGGAATTTTAATGTAACAAACTTAAACTGAAAGTGAACAGCTAGGAAACTTACGAAAAAATAAACAATACCAAACAGACGCAAAATATGTTCACATGGAATATCAGCTCAATATAAGTGACTTTTACTTATCTGTCATCAATAACATTATAGTCAGAATGGCTAAAACACACATTCTTCTTATCTTTATCACCTACTGTTATAATAAGGAACATACAGGCTACTCAAATACAGCAGCTGTGTTGGATGTGCACCAGCTCTTTCCCATGCGAGAGGTTAGTTCCCAATCTTGGTCATAAATGCTGAGTGCAAATCATATTCTCTGATTAACAAACTAAAGTATGTCAAATTTTTAAGTTGTGAAAAACCTACATTGTAGATATATCTCCAAACAAGACATTCCAAACACAAAAGTGATTAAGAATACGAAATACAAAAATGATTAAGAATACTAAAGTGTCTACAATGCCTACAACTTTCATTTTATAAGAAATATGGGAGACAGAAGAATAAATGAAACAAAGCTACGAAGAAACATCACCAGAATAATAAAACAATAATCTAACATTTTATAAGATAACTATCTTGGCTGATCACAGTGGTTCACACCTGAAATCCCAACACTTTGGGATGCCCAGGTGGGAGGATGGCTCGAGCCCAGGATTTGGAGACCAGCCTAGGCAATATAGCAAGATTTCAACTCTACAAAAAAATAAAAAACTAGCTGGGTGTGGTAGTGCATGCCTGTAGTCTCAACTACTCAGGAGGCTGAGGTAGAAGGATCGCCTGAGTCCAGAAGGCCAAGGCTGTGATGAGCCATGAACATGCCACTGCACTCCAGCCTGGGTGACAGAGTCGAGACCTCAGCTCAAACAACAACAAACCAAACAGAAAAAGAAAACCATCTTGAACTCTTCAAAAGGTCTAAATCATAAAAGCCCAGGCCACCTGGCGAGATGTCATCTCTTACAATAAAATAAAAAACAGCTGGGCGTGATAGCGTGCGTCTGTAGTTCCGGCTACTCAGAAGACTGAGGTGGAAGGGGGAGCCCAGGTCAATGCGGGGTGGCTGTGAGCGTGCGTGCCACTGCACTGCAGTCAGGGTGAAGGAGGGAGAGTCCAACTTAAAAAAAAAAAAAGAAAAGAAAAAAGGAGCAAGGTGTGGTGGTGCAAGGAGGCTGAGATAGGAAGAACACTTGAACCTAGGAGTTCAAGGTTACAGTGAACTATGATTGAGCCACTGCCCTCCAGACTGCCCCTCAGAGTGAGACCTTGTCTCCAAAAGAGACAGATGAATAGATAGATAAATAAACAGCATCAAAGGAGATAGCAAACACAATGTGAAAACCTAAAATGGATACTGGTTGGGAAGGTATAAAATATATTCTTGGAACTATTCATGAAACTGGGATAAGATCTAGATACTGGATGATACTATGAAATTTTAATTTTTCTTACAAATAATGGGTCCAGTGGTTATATAAGATATCATCCACATTAGTGTGAGATGCTTGCTGAAATGATTATGATTCGGGATCATGTTTTTGCCATTATTTCCAAATGGGATAAAAAAAAAAAACTATATAGGTAAAGTAAGGATGTCAAAATACTAACAACCATTGAACCTAGGTAGAGGATATACGGATACATATATTAAATTATTCTTTTTCTATCCTGTATGCTTGAAAAGTTTTATTAGTTTTAGGAAAATAGAAAAAATAATTATGTGCTAAGAGTCCTAAAAAATTACCATAAAAATAAAAGAAATCTTGTTTTGGCTCTAAGGGAAAGAAAAAGAGGAGGCAAGGCTTTAGAAAAGGCCTAAGTTTTACCTGAAATGAGACAAAACTAGTCCATTAAGGCAGAACAGGTGAGAGAGAGTCACAGAAAATGAAGCAGAGGCTGTATGGAAGTCAAATTATGATAGATCTTAAAAGCGGAGAACATCATCATTACCTTAATTTGTTCCTCGCTGATGCTAGGAGTGTTCTTCAAGAGATTCAGAAAGACTCCACCTGGTGTTCTTCTTCGACTACCATTCTACAAAAAGGAATAGAAAAATTAGACTGCATAGACTCTTCCCATGAATGGCCATGTCATCTTTTAGCAGAGACACACCTAAAGAGATAGACGGAATTACCAGATTTGAGGTCGTCATGATTCTAACTCTCATGAAACGGGTAACATGAGGACATCACCAAGAACATGAGTTTTAGTTTCTTCATCTACAAAATGAAGGCCAAAAGTGATCTTTTGTCTTTCTCAACTTCAAAATTCTATGATTTATAAAATCTACCTTGTAACCAAAAGTAACAGGACCTTCAGCTTAAATGACTGAAAAAATGACTGGATTTTCTGCTTTTATATGCCATTTGGCCAAATCAGTGAATATTCTATTAGATATTGAAACACAGCATAAAGCCTCAATAATTAAGGCAGTATGATACGGAAATAAAACTGGAGTGATCAATAGAGCAGAAGAGAAAACTCAGGAAAACGGCCAAATACACTTGGGAATTTAGTCTTTGATATAAATACAAATACCTTCTCAAGCCAGAGAAAGTAAAGACTACTGAATAACTGGTGTTGGAGCTATTGGGTAGTCATCAATATGCAAGTTTATTGTAGTATTACTCACAACAGCAAAAACATGGAACCAAACTTGCTGCCCATGGAAAGTAGACCGGATTTAAAAAATGTCATACAGGCCGGGTGCAGTGGCTCACACCTATAATCCCAGCACTTTGGGAGGCCTAGGTGAGAGGACTGCCTGAGCTCACAGGTTCAAGATCAGCCCATGTAGAGATTAGGGTGGAGAGCAGTCTTGCAAGGACAGGGTCAGAGCCTGCCTTGATTTAAAATTTTGTCTATTATGGGTTTTTTGCATTAATTTTGATTTTTGAAACTAGTGCATTAAATATTACGTATTTTGACTACTGAGTTTTTTTGGCACCCCCTCAAATTTTGCACCCAAAACACTCAGTTCACACTATCTCTGGCCCTGTCACGCAGTCTTCACTTTGACAGAGGTTGTTACTTCTGCTGGGTCTGTCATCCTTGCAGCACTCACGAATTTACCTTCACGTCTGTTCAAGCAGCGCCTTCTTAATAATGTCTCTACCCTGACCACTCTTAATTTAAACCACAATGTCCTCCTTTCCTCTACTTCCTATACTTCCACCTGATACACTTTTCTTACTTGAAGTTATTATATTTATTGCTTATAGACTGCCTTCTTCTTTTTTTTTTGAGTTGGAGTCTCACTCTGTCGCCCAGACTGGAGTGCAGTGGCCACTTCCAGCCACCACAGCCTCAACCTGCTGGGCTGCAGTGATCCTTCCGCCTCAGCCTTCCAAGTAGCCGGAATTACAGGCATGTGCTACCACGCCTGGCTGATTTTTTGATTTATTGTAGAGATGAGGTCTCGCTGCCCAGGCGGGTCTTATTATCCCCTATTATTTCCTATTACCCCCAAGGAGCAAAGCTCCCTGTTGTGGAGGCACTCAGTAACTGTTCAAAGCAGTAACAGTAATGTTACTGTTCATTAACATGGCAGGCACTAAGTAACTGTTCAAGGAGAGAATGTATCAAAACAAAGTGAATTTAAGTTAGGCACAGTGTCTCACGCCTGAAATCTCAACACTATGGGAGGCTGAGGTGGGAGAACTGAGCCCAGGAGTTGAGTTGGAGAACAGCCTAGGAAACATACCGAGACCTTCTCTCTACAAAACAATCAAAAAATTAGCCAGGCATGGTGGCATGTGCCTGTAGTTTCCACTACTTAGGAGGCTGAAGCAGAAGGACTGCCTGAGCCCAGGAGGTTGAGGCTATGGTGAGCTGACTGCACCACTACACTCTAACCTGGGTGACAGAGTGAGAAAAAAGAAAGGGAATTTGGACTTGCATCTTCTAAACATTCAGCAGATTTGTATTAGCTGACTGGAATGTGAAGTTTAATTTATTACAGTAGTAAAATATTGATGAAATCTGTAACTTTGTGTTCAATAAGTGAAAATCAGAATTCTTCAACAATGACACAAACAAGGATGCCAGTGCATTCATGATTATTATAACTTGTGTTAACTCCTGTTTTTACTTCTGTAATTTACATTCACAGGCTAGTTCCTTAGCCAATGCTATCAGTTCTACTTGTTTCTTTTCTCTTCCTGCACAAAGCGTAATACTGATCTCTCTTGTGATGTTACTGTTCACTTCATGAATAACAAAAGGAAGTCATGCAAACATTCATCCTTACTCCATGCTAAAAGCTAAATTAAATGAGATCTGCAAAACCCTTCTATAAGATAATTGCCACTGCTCATGATCTAGGAGCTCTTGATGTCACAGTAAAGTGTTCATTAATATGTTTTTCCCACTACTGCTTCCCCATTCCAGGACTGTGTTTAGAATTTTTTCCCCCTTCAACTCCCATCATCCATGAAGTTTGTTTGTTTGTTTATTTTATAGAGACCAGATCTTCCTATGTTGCCCAGGCAGTCTCAAACTCCTGGAATCAAGCAATCTTCCCACCTTGCTTGGCCTTCCAAAGTGCTAGGATTACAGGTGTGAGCCACAGAAATACTGTATATCTATCTGTGCTTTAAACATAATAAGACTTTTTTACCCTCTTTTTCAAGAATGTATGAATTAATAAGCTAAAAACACTGCAAGTTAGTACCGGGCACTGTGATTAGTACTTTACATGCATCATCTTCTCTAATCCCTACAACACAAAATTACTCCACATTTTACAATTGAGGAGAATGAGGCTCCAATGAGTCAAATAATTTAGCCAAATTTCAGTTAATAAGCTGCACAGCTAAAACTCAAAAAGGGTACCCAAACTCCAAAACCCATATTCTCAAAACCTGAGCTTTCAGGTTCCCCAAGGCTCTGCTGTCTCAAAATTTCAGTCCCTTATATGCCACATCTTAAAAAAACAAAAAAAATTCATTCCCTACCTTTAATGAGTTGTGAGTAAGAGATGTGTTGGTGACTACACACTAACAGGCTATAATTTATCTATTTTTTTTTTGGTAAGAGAAGCATTAATTGCAAAAGCGACTGTACGGAATTTTTAAATTCAGTCTTCATTGTTGATACAGTTTTTTTTAAACCTTGATCATGCTGTAATAATGCATGATAAATAAGAGATCCAACAGAGGTAAGTTAAATTTGCTAAACAAATAAACAAAAAACCCAACAACAACAACAAAACCACATGATAAACAATATAAAAGCAAAACCAGCAAAGCAGTCTTACCATTATAAAGAGGCCACCATTTTGTTCAACTTCAGCAGTTTCCATCAGAAGTTCAATTGCCTTTTTGTTCCCAATAATCCTCACTACTCGAGCTATCAGATCTTTCTTTGGTTCCTGTAACCTGGTAAGGAACAAATAAACACAATTAACCAATTTATTTGTGGCACAAAGTTGAAAAAATCTGCCTTAGTCTCCAGTTTTGTCCCCAACTAGAATAAAAATCTGATTCTAGTGGTATTTGCTTTGCTAAATTTTCAATTTTTAACCTTGAAATCACTGATATGTAAACATTCCTAATATTAGGTCACACAGGAGATAGTAACCTCAAATTTCCATTTCAAGTCTCACACTTGGGTTCTGAAGTATTTGCCTTATTGAATTATGGCAGATTTCAAAATAAATGTGACCATATAGTAAGGTGAATGCAAGCCTAAATGTAAGAGATAAAAACAGTCTACTCCAATCAAAACAACTAACAGGCCGGGTGCAACAGTTCCCACCCGTAATCATAGCACTTTGGGAGGCTGAGGCAAGAAGATTGACTGAGCCCAGGAGTTTGAGGCTGGGCAACATAGTGAGACCTCATCTCTACAATAAATAAAAAAATTAGCTGGGTGTGGTGGCACGTGCCTACACTCCCAGCCACTTGGAAGGCTTAGGTGGAAGGACTGCATCAACCTAGCAGATGGAGGCTGTGGTGGGCTGTGATGCCACTGCACTCCATCCCGGACGACAGAGTGAGACTCTGACTCAAAAACAAAACAAAACAAAACAAGACATACACTATGCTTTCAATTATTATGCCTAAAAGCTAGCTCTCCTAACTGGATATGTTTGGGGGCTTCAGAATGGATACTTGCTTCATAGGCTCCCTGCCTCAAAACAAAGAATAGAAATTATTATGGTTTATCGCAAGGACAATCCTAAGAACCTTGTATGTACTATGTCAGTTAATTTCTCAACAATGTTATGAGGGAGGATTATTTTCATTTTGCCACTAAGAGGTTAGAAACAAGTAGTCTAACTATCTCTTCTAATGTCAGCCTACATACTCAAGAGATGAAAGAGAAATCAGCAGTGCAGAAGCCTTACCATTTCCTTAATCAGACCCGCAAAGAGCACTAGACTAGGAACACAAGGACTAGATTTTAGCTCCAGAACTGACACCAATCAAATTTGTAACCTTGGGCAAGCCACATAACTACTGGGTCTTGATTTTCTTATGTATAAAGTGAAAGTTTTGGTTTATAAAATCTCCATGTTCCTCTACAGCAAACCTTCCTGTATTTTAAAAAATCGAGGCTGGGCTCAGTGGCCAGCCTGTAATTCCAGCACTTTGGGAGGCCGAGGCGAGTGGATTGCCTGAGCCCGCAGGTTCAACACCAGCTCCAGCAACTTGGTGAGACCACATCTCTACAATAAAACAAAAATTAGCCAGGCATGGTAGCACGCGCCTAGTTCCAGCTACTTGGAAGGCTGAGACGGAAGGATCGCCTGAGCCCAGCAGGTGGAGGCTGTGGTGGCCATGATCGTGTTACTGCACTCCAGCCTGGGTCACAGAGTGAGACTCCAACTAAAAAAAAAAAAAAAACCAAAACACAAATATCCAGTACGGTGTTTGGATAGGCTTGCCTGGAAGTAAATACTTGTTTTCCTACCAGCCATATTACTCTTGAACCACAACTCCTTTCAAATTTGTAACACTGCTCATTAGTGACTTAGATCTAATAAAAATAGTACTTTAAAATATGAACTTGTTAAAAATATGTGAATTGCAAATTTATCATACACCAACCAATTCTACTCCTAGCTATTTACTCAAAAGAAATAAAAATACATGTTAAAAGATCTAGATGCAAAGGTTAATAACAGCAATATTCATAATAGAGTAGAATATTCGTTCAATGTGAAATTAGGTTTAATCTTGCTACATGAATCACTCTCATAAACATTCACTAAGTGAGAGAAGCTAGGAAGAAGACCACACACTGTACGGCTACTTTTGTTTTTTTTTTTTATCTAGGTCTCACTCTGTAATCTAGGCTGGAATACAGTGGCACCATCAAGGCTCATCACAGCCTCGACCACCTAGGCTCAGGCGATCCTTCTGTTCAGCTTCCCATGTAGCTGGGACTATAGGTGAGTATCACCACACCTGGCTAATTATTTTTTTGTAGAGATGAGGTCTCGCTGTGTTGTCCAGACTTCTCTCAAACACCTGGCCTCAAGCAATCTCCTGGCCTTAGCCTCCCAAAGTGTTAGGATTCTAGGTGTAAGCCACCGCACTTGGCTGTATGAGCCATTTATATAAAATATCCAGAAAGTGCAAATACAGACAGAAAAATTAGCAGTTGTCTAGGATGAGAACAGGGATTAACAGTAAATTAGCATATAAATGTGAAGGATTTTACCGGGTGATGAAAATGTTTTAAAAGTGATGGTTGTGGCTGGGCAGTGGCTCACAATTGTTATCCTAGCACTTTGGGAGACAAGGTGAGAGAACTATCTGAGCCCAGGTGTTTGAGACCAGTCTGGACAACATAGTGAGACCTTGTCACTACAGTAAATCAAAAATTAGCCAGGCGTGGTAAAGCTTGAGGCTGCAGTGGCTGTGAATGTGCCACTACTCCAGCCTGGGTGATAGAGCAAGACTCTGACTCAAAAAAAAAAAAAAAAAAGTGACAGTTGTACAACTTGGTAAATTTACTAAAAAATTAACACTAGAAATGGGTGAATATAATAATCTGTAAAATACACCTTGAAGTTTTTTTAACAAGTCACAAGTGACTAAAAAACAAAAAATTACTCTAAAGGATATGTTTTATTTAAAGAGCTCTATAGCACTAAATGCAAAGAGTTTCTTAGGAGTTTTGAAAGGTCTGTAAAAATTATGCTATCAGGCCTGTTAATACTTAAGAAAACAGGCTGGGTGTGGTGGCTCATGCCTGTAATCCCAGCACTTTGGGAGGCTGAGGCAGGAGGTTTGCTTGAGCCCAGAAGTTGGGGACCAGCTTGGGTTGGGCAACATAGTGAGATCTCATCTCTACAAAAAATTTAAAAATTAGCCAGGCTAAGCCAGGCTCGGTGGCTCAGCCTGTAATCCCACACCTTGGGAGGCTGAGGTCAGTGGATTACCTGAGCCCGTGGGTTCGAGACCCGCCTGGGCAATGTGGCGCGACATCATCTCTACAATAATTCAAAAAAAAAAGAGAAATGAGCCAGGTGTGGTAGCGCGCGCCTGTAGTTCCAGCTACTTGGAAGGCTGAGGCGGAAGGATCGCTGCAGCCCAGCAGGTCGAAGCTGCGGTGGCCGGGAGCAGCCAATGCACTCCAGTCTGGGAGACACAGTGAGATTCCAACTCACAAAAGAAAAAAAAAAATTAGCCAGGTTTAGTGGCATGTGCCTGTAGTTCTAGCTACTGGGGAAGCTGAGGGAGAAGGATTGATTGAGCCTAGGAGTTTGAGGCTGTGGTGAGCTGTAATCATGCCACTGTACTCAGCCTGGGTGACAGAATGAGACTCTGACTCAAAAAAAAAAAAAAAAGAAAATACAAATGTGTTCATATAACCAAAAATAAGCCCAGAGTCAGTTCCTGAGATTAAAAATAATAATAATAATCATCTGAAAAAAGAAAAATCACCACTAATATATTTGTAGTCTATTTTCTTTCCTGTAAACAGAAGATATTTGGTTGAGAGCTCATTTTTTTTTTTGTTTTTTTTTTTGAGTTGGGATCTTTTTCCAGGCTGGAGTGCAGTGGCATGATGATAGCTCATCACAGCCTCAGCCTCCTGGGCTCAGGCAATCCTTCTGCCTCAGTTTCCTGAATAGTTGGGACTGCAAGCACACACTACTATCAGTCTAATTTTTTTTTTTTTTTAAACGGGGATGAGGTCTCACTATGTTACCCAGGCTGATCTCAAACTCCTGGGCTCAACCCATCCTATCAACTCAGCCTCCCAAAGTTCTGGGATTATAGGCTAAGCCAACGCACCTGCAAGCTTATTTGTGATTCAAATTTAAATACTCACCTGAAAGAAATCTCATCAGCCACTTTCTCTTGAGAATCTTCCTCTGTGATCTCATATCGGCCTTTATAGTTCATTTCTAGTCTGTGTCCTCCTAGTCTGTCTTTTACAGGTCGTTTCCTTTTGAGATGACCTTGCCCATTTTCCTCTTCCTTTGATTCTGGTTTTTTGCCACTATGCATATATTCATCTAGCTCCTTGTCTAATTCTTTTGTGTGCTCTTCATATTCTCTCTTAAGTTTCTTAGCAAGCAAATAATTGTAGGTCTCAGACTGTCTGCTTTTGTCAATATTGCCCTCCATTCCCAAGATACCAAGTTCAGTGGCCACTGCATCTTGATTCTGTTCTTGCAGCACAGCACCCCATATGTTGTTAACTTTCTTTCCTCCAGCAACAGATGCTTTCTGACTGCTCTGGTCAAACTGAAAAGGCTCTGGTTTGGGAGGAGGATTAAAACATTTCTGTCGCTTGCGTTTCCAAAGAGAGCTATCATCATCTGAATCAGAAAAACTCTCTTCACTTGAATCCACACTTTTAACAGTCCGATAATGTGATACTGGTACACATGCTGTTGTGGTACTTTGGAAGGCCCTCACAGCACTGTCCCCACCAAGTACTTTCTGCCAATGAAAAGAAATACAATCAATTCCACAAAACACATGAACTCTACTACCATGTGCTATTTTTTAATATTTAGAGATTCAGTTATTCTGAACCACTCTTAACTGGAACTGATCCTGAAAGACATGTTTGAAACCAACCCAGTCCCTAGAAGTTTCACATAGAATTTGCCATTTTAAAGCTATATATTCTTTTTTTTTTTTTTTTTGAGTTGGAGTCTCACTCTGTCACCCAGACTGGAGTGCAGTGGCCACTCCTGGTAACCGCAGCCTCGACCTGCTGGGCTCCGGCGATCCTTCAGCCTCAGCCTTCCAAGTAGCTAGAATTACAGGCATGCGCTACCACGCCCCGTTGATTTTTTGATTTATTATAGAGACGAGGGCCACCAAGTTGCCCAGGCGGGTCTCGAACCCGCAGGCTCAGGCAATCCACTCACCTCAGCCTCCCAAAGGCGCGGGACTACAGGCTGAGCCACCAAGCCCGGCTAAAGCTATATATTCTTATTTTTTTTTTAATTTTAGATAAGATCTTGCTCTGTTGCCTAGGCTGGAGTGCAGTGACATGATCATAGCTCACTGCAGCTTTGAAGTGGGCTCACACAATCCTTCCATCTCAGCTACCCGAGTAGCCACCATCATGCATGCCACCAAGCCTGGTTAATTTCTGTATATCTTGTACAGATGAGATCTGCTATGTTGCCCATACCGGTCCTGACCTACTAGCTCAAGCAATCCTCCTGCTTCTGTGATTACAAGTGTGGACCATTATTCGCGGTAAAGCAGCAAGTTCTTATCTGTACAGCTAATACAGCATTTCATTCTAAGGTCTCCTTCTAAAAAATTACCAAAGCTCTTAATTCTCACCTTTAAAAGATTTCTGTCTTTTCAGTTATTGTCAGAGTGCTTGAAAATGACATACATAAATAATTGTTATTGGCAGTTAAAACTAAATTTGTTTTCTTTCTTTTCAAAGATATCAGTGTTGCATTCAGGCACACCTACTTCTTTTATATTTTTTCTGTGACTATTCCTTTTAAATTAGATGGTAAACTTCTTTGGATAGAAACCCTTGATATGACACTAAAATCCAGTCGGGCTCGGTGGCTCAGCCTGTAATCCCGCGCCTTTAGGAGGCTGAGGTGAGTGGATTGCCTGGGCAGCGAGACCTCATCCCTACAATAAATCAAAAAATCAGCTGGGCGTGGTAGCGCATGCCTGTAATTCTGGCTACTCGGAAGGCTGAGGCGGAAGGATCGCCGGAGCCCAGCAGATCGAGGCTGCGGTGGCCAGGAGTGGCCACTGCACTCCAGTCTGGGAGACAGAGTGAGACTCCAACTCAAAAAATAAATAAATAAATAAAACAAAACTGAAATCCATGGCATTAAGTTTATTTGCCAAGTCATGGGTCAATTTATGTAAAACAATCTGAGATTGAAAAACAAAATATCTTGGTACTAGTTTCCTAAGACAATTGCATGCAAAAGAAGTCACCTTTGCTTTTTGTACTAAACACTAAACCAAGTATTTGTTGAGCTCCTATATGTTATAGAAATGTGGGTGGGAGTGATTTAAGTCAATAAGACAGTCCCTAACTTCAAATAATAATCACTGCTAATATTTGTCAGACATTACTGTGAGCTGTATGCTCCACAGAATTCTTAAAATAACCCTCCTGCTTCCGTCCACATCATGCCAACTTTACAGATGGGGACAAAAAAGCAGTAAAGATGAATAAACTTGTAGATCACACAGTGGTGGCACCAAAACCCTCTCGAAGAGGTTGCTACGTCAAGACGAGCTTTCATTTAGAAAGCTGATAAGTTAATACAAAACCTAACAATGCCATAATACCACATGACAAAGCAAGGTTCAATGGGAATATGTAAGACAGGGTTTACAAGTAAGCAATGAACTTCATTACTGGGCCTCAGAGGTTTTTCTATCAGCTCAGGATGAAAATGAGTATCACCGGCTGTTTCGGGCCGATGTCCCCAGGTCCTTCATTTTTGGCAAAATCTGCCCTTTCTGACACCCTAGAGGCGCTGGAGTGGGGAAGCTGCTAAGTTTAGAAAATGAAAAGCGCGTGGTAGGCGGAGGAGAGACCGTCCCTAGCCCGCCTCCGGGAGGCATCAAAGACCGCGAGCCCCGCCTCGCAGCAAACTGCCGGGCCGGGGTTTGCAGGCCGCTGCCCCGCTCCCAGCCTCCTGCAGCTCGGGCCCCACGAGCCCGGTCCGGCGACGCCCTCCTAACCATTACTGCAGCCACTGTACGCCGCATCCCGGGATCCTCGCTCCGGACTCGGGGAAGCAAGCCTACCCCACCTTTACCGCCACCCCGTAGCCGGGGCTCCGCGCGCTCAGCCCACACGCCCGCCCTTCACACTCACCGGTACATGCAGCGGCCTGTCGCTGGGTGCGACCGTCATATCGGCATCCGAGTCGGAAAGCTGTCCGTCTTCCATGTCTCCCGCTTCCAGCGCCATCTTCCTGCGGCACGGCGCGGCGGGTCAGAAGAGCACTTCCGGAGGGGCGGCGGGTCAGGAGAGCACTTCCGGCGGGACGGAGGAACCGCCGGGCCGGCGGCGGCGGTCGCGTGGGCGCCCCCGAGCGGAGAACTAGCCCGGCCCAGAGGCCAGCGGGCGCCCATCTGCCAAGACTGATAGGAAACGTGGCAGCCTTGCAGACATTCGAACTGTCCTGGGAAAGTGAATCACCTGTGCCTCCAACACTTTCTTCCAAATTTTGTTTTCGTGCAGCATAAGGATGTGCAGGACGGCTCTTGTCTACGATTCCTTCCTGGCCTCACACTCCTCTCCTGGATGCTCTGGGCAAGCGTCCCTGCTTCTATGCCTGCTCCTCCACAATCCACTATAGTAGCTTGCAGGGAAGCCTTGCAGACAGTACAGTCGGCGCTCCATATCCATGGATGTGGAACCCGCGGTTATCCAGGGCCGACTCTACTGCGCCAATTTACATAAGGGACTGGAGGCCTGGTGTACTGGCCCATACCTGTAATCTCAGCACTTTTGGCAGCCGAGGATTGCTTTAGCTCAGAAGTTGGAGATCATTTCGGAAACATAGCAAGACCTTGTCTCTACAAAAAAGTAGAAAAATGAGCAGGGCATGATGTTGCACACCTGTAGTTCCAGCTATTCTGGAGGCCAAGGCAGGAGGATCACTTGAGCCCAAGAGGTTGAGTCTTTGGTGAGTCATTATCATGCCACTGTACTCTCTCCTGGGTGAGGGAGTTAAGAACCTGTTTCAAAATAATAATAATAATAAAATAAGAATTTTCAAAAAGGGACTTGAGCATGTGCTGATTTTGGTATGGGTGTGTGTGTTTGTGTCCTGGAACCGCAATCACCAATCCCTTGCAGATACCAAGGGATGTCTATATATGAGATTACTGTCTGACTTGAATCTTCCAGGTTCCCCCCCCCCCCCCCCCC